GCAAATCAAGATGAGAACTTTGATTTTTAATAATTAATTTTTAAATAAAATTTAATGTATAAAAATACTATAAAAATAAATAAAAGTTAATATCTCTGATTTATAATTTAAAAATATATATATTGATGATAAAATTATTTTTTCTAAAATACCTTATTTTTTTAGAAATCTTTAAAAAATAAAATAAAGGTAATGATGGTAATATAAAATATAAAACAAAATAAATTTTATCTCATCCAAATCTATTTATTTATTGATTAAATTCAAAATAAATACTATAATTAAATTTAATTACAGGAAAAAAATTAATTTTAAATAACATAAAAATATTAATTTTAAATAAAAAAATTCAAATTTATTGGAACTCCAATGCATGCGAAGCTAATATACTAATATATCTGTAAATAATAATGATTCAAGATTTTCTTATTATGGATGAGGGAGTCCCCTGGGAATACAAAATGGCCATTATCTCTCTGGAAGCACCATTGCTGATTTCAGGCACAACGATATGGAATCTCGACGGAGGAGAAGATTACTGCAGAGAATAAACCGGCTGAGAAAATGCGACTAATTGTATCCTTGTTGAAGGTGTGGTACCAGGTATCTAGTTTTTGTATTGCATGTACTCGAAGTCATGTTCTTCTGTTTTTGTATTTGCTGCATGGCAGAACCCTCCACAGGTGTGGTACCAGGTATCTTGTTTTTGTATTGCATGTACTTGAAGTTCGTATCATGTTCCCGGCTAATAGTAGGGATCTGAGATTAGTGTTCTAATTAATGGGTAGATAGAGATTTTGGATCTTCGGTTAATGAGATAATTTTTTAATTAATGAAAAATTAGAGAAAATAGTCCCTATTATTACTGGGATTAGTCCCTAGTTAACGAGCAATTGAAGAAATTCATAATGTAAAATTGAAATAAGTGTTGATTTGGCAAGGAAAGATATCGTATTGTTAAATCATGTGTATTGTATGAATTGAGAATAATTGTATATACAAGTAATAGTAAATATTTTTTGTTTATAAACTAATTATACTTGGTAATATATAAATTACAAGCACTTCACAATGTCGTAACTAGTGAATATCTCATTCGTAATTTTATGCAATCAACATATATTTTGTTATGTAATATAATTTTGTGAACAAGTAGTATATAAATGTAAATTAAATATAAATAATGTATCTTAATTAGTTTCTTTTGAACCCATATGACTATAATTACATAGACTAAGTTTTAAGTGTGACTTGCATTAATATGAACATATGTTGGTTTCATGTTGTAACTAAGTTAATTGTCCCATTACTTGAAATATTTTGAAATAATATAATAATTGATTTACTTAAGGAAATTTGAAAGAAAGAAAAGAAGTTTTTATTGTGTTAAATATGTTGAAATTTTATTTGTAGGCTATGAAAATTGATTAAGTCGATAGCTTGATATTAAAAAAATATAAAGAAATTTTTGCTAAAATTCTAGCGAAAAAAAATAATATTGTACTATAAATGATAATACTATATGTTCCTCTAAACCTCTAAATATAATAAAATAAAATTTAAAGTTATTACAAGATCATAATTCCTAAAAAAAAAATTTAATGTTAAATTAAAGTTGGACATTAATTATAGATATTGAAACCGATGCATATTATATTTTTTTCTTTTTATAAAAGAAAGCAGTTTCTCCTATAAACTGAGATATAAGGGATATATATAACTAGTATACAAGTGCTTGTCAGATAACATATATACTAAACTGATCCATAAAAGAATTTAATGTTTATAAAAAGGTTTATGCGATAGTTGTATAAATAATTCTTAAACTTAATACCATTAAGTTATTTTTATATAGGGAATGTTATGCTCTGATCTGACCGTACGTTATCCTAATCAAAGGTAACAAATGAGAAGATATTGAATATAATATAAACTATATAAAGATATATGAGTAATCAATAGAGAATTCATCATTCTAGATGAATTAGAAAAAATATTTTATTTATTCTCAAATAGTATTGATTGTGAAATTTTATTTTGAAATAATATAATAATTGATTTACAGGAAACTTGAAAGAAAAGAAAGAAGTTTTTATTGTGTTAAATATGTTGAAATTTTATTTGCAGGCTATGAAAATTGATTAAGTCAATAGCTTGATATTAAAAAAATATTAAAAAAAACTTTTCTGAAATTCTAGCGAAAAAAATAATCTTGTACTATAAATGATAATACTATATGTTCCTTTAAATATGATAAAATAAAATTTAAATTTATTCCAAGATCATAATTCCTAAATATTTTTTTCAATATATATTAAAGTTGATGCTGAAACTGATGCATATTATATTTTTTTTCTTTTTATAAAAAGAAGTAGATTCTCCTATAAACTCTGAGATATAAGGGATATATATAACTACTATGCAAGTGCTTGTCAAATAACATATATACTAAACTGATCCACAAGAGAATTTAATATTTATAAAAAGGTTTACGTGATAATTGTATAAGTAATCATTAAACTTAATACCATTAAGTTATTTTTATATAGGGAATGTTATGCTCTGATATAACCGCATGTTGTCCTAATCAAATGTAAAAAATGAGAAGATATTGAATATAATATAAACTATATAAAGATATATGAGTAATCAATAGAGAATTCATCATCCTAGATGTATTAGAAAAAATATTTTATTTATTCTCAAATAGTATTGATTATGAAATTCATTATCAATATGGAATGAGTTTTGAAACATGTTTTGAAATTTTATTTAAAAGATTGAGGACTATAATGTTGAGAATTAACATGATTCTATAAAATAAATATACTTCATACTATAATGTCTAAAATGAAATATTATTAATAAATGGATAATAATTATATTGAGAAATTACTTATTAAAAGATTAGATCAAATCACTTATGACTTCTCTAATATTTAGGGGATCATGTAAAGTTGCTAAAATTTGTATTTAATCTTCAATTATAAATTAATAAACTATTAAATTGATAATAAATTAAATTATTTAGTTTATGTAATCTTATTTTATTTAGGATTATGGTTTATTTTTTACCAACTTATTAAGGAATCTAACTGGTTATATACATAAAAATCATTGGTTAAAAATTAAAATGAAATAATTAATAAAGTGTGACTTGATTGTAAATAAATTTTATAAATTGAGAATTAACATGTAATTAGGATAGGGGATTACAATTCTATACTTAGAAATAATCTAGTAATGATTTGATTGAATAAATTTATAAAATTAATCTAAAATAATATATGCGATATTATTTTTTAAAAAATATTTTATCATTCATAGGGTTTTTAGGTTTTCTTATAAGTAGAATGTTATGGTTCTTATTTTCTAAAGTGAGAATAATATAGTAGAGAAAAACCTAAAAAAAAAAAAAAAGAGTCAATACTTTAAAATATAACAACTTCTCTTTCCTAAAAGATTTAGAATGTTTTTCATTGATGATTCGTATAAATTACTATTAGATGTCGAGTAATTGAATGACTTGTGTTTTACAACAACGTAGCTTTTAAACAAATATCTAAAGTTGAAAAGAATATCTAAACTTCAAGTAATCTTTGCATAAACTTTAAACAATTCTAAATCTATTTAATAAAATCTTTAAAACTTCTAAAAACTTTAAAATTTACTATTTATTACTGCGTATATATATTTCAGAAAACACAACAATTTATACACGAGAAAAGGTTGACAGTAGAATGGCTCAACTAAATGCAATTCTTATTTATGTTTCTCGGAGTGATATATATGCCGATGATATATTTAGTTAAACATCCCCAAAGGACTCAAGCTTAATGGATATCCTTTCTTTTACTTTGTTCTTCATTTACAACAACCTTATTTTAAAAAATAACTCGCATTTGCTCAGGCTTCACCTTGATTTTAATAATGTCTATAGATCTAAATAGGTAGATTAACGCGGTGGTCAGTTTTAGTTTGATATAATAAAAATTGCTTTTTTCATATTCTTAAATTTAAACTTATCATTCTGATTTATAAATGTATCAGCTAAACATTTAATGTTATATCTTCCTCAACAGCTTACATTCTCAAAAATTTAGATGTAGACAGGTAAAAAATTCATTTGGCACGGCTGAGCTTGCCACCAGGTGAGATTAAGCTTTTTCCATGAAGATTGCAGGGTGCATGAGTGTATGTATGTGTGTGTGGTATCCATAGGTTTTAAACCCTGTCCGGCCAGTCAAATCGATCTAAAACCCGGCCGATCCAGAGTTGAAATTAGGTTAGATTGAAAAAAAAAATAAAGAAGAAAAAACTTGGTATAACTCAGTTGATCCAATGACCCTATTGATCCGGTAATACCTTATTAAAAATTCGGTTGCAACTCATTGATTTTTATTTTTTATTAAAATAATAACATTTTAATTTAAAAAAATTGATCATTATAACCTGATGACCCGATCAAAACCTACAATTCAGGTCTTAGATCGGACCAAGTCTGAAAACAATAATAATAACGATTATTTTTTAAAATGTTTTTTACTCAAAAATATATTTGAATAATATTATTTTATTTTTTAAAATTATTTTTTATATCATCACATTAATTTATTTTAAAAACACTGAAAAATATTAACTTTAAAAAAGTAAAAAAATTAATTTTTAAAATTAAAAAACAAACTCAATTATTCCCAGCAGCTGCGATTATGGTTAACGAACATGGCACCATGGCCCCACCTAGGCATCCAATAATTATAGTAAACAAAACAGAAGCACCGACCCTTAGCAGCAAGGCTGCTTCCCAAGGCATGGAAGACCAATCAGGAACTGACAGATATCACTTTAGATTTAAGGAACTAATATTTAAATCACTGCACCAAATATTCAACTGGACACGTGTCAGACTCACAACAAAGATCCAGCCTTGTCTAATTAGATCTTGACATCTTAGCATCCATCCGACCATCTATAAATACAGAACCAAAAACCTTGCACTTCTCCATCGCATTTTCTCATCTACTTTGATCAATCAAGAGCTTTTTAGCAATGGAGTCAGCTCCTCTTTGCTCCTCATTACTTCCTTCTTTCCCACAAAAACGCAGATATGGGCGTGGTAAGAGGTCAAGCGGCACGGTTGTTCTCGCTCCTCGGAGAGAGAACACCCAAGAGTGGCTGAGATATGGAGAGTTGCTCGTAGATGAAAGCATGCTTGTGCTGAGGAAACGCATTCGTGAAATGAAAATGGTGGAGAGAAATTATGAGCCTCCAGAAGAGTGGATGGAGTGGGAGAAGCAGTGCTCTACATCCTACGACGAGTTTATATGTAAGTTTGTAGGGTTTTTGCAATTGCATTTGATGAATACAAGGCCTAGTTTGGCCCTAGGAATGCTTTTGCTAGTTACAATGAGCGTCCCGGCATCAATGGTCATGATTTCCCAACAATTGATGGAGGCAACATGTGGAGTCTTGTCAACCTTTCATGGAGGTTGATGAGGTGTTTAATATTCTTTCTTTTCTTAGAGTAGGTCCATGGAATATATTTATGTAAATGGAAATTAAAAAAAATGTATAGATTTTATTTTATTAAGTAATTTGTTTAATTTTTTTTTATTTATATGGAGTGTCCGAGCCAGCTTATACGCACCACAATTAATCCCCACAGCTCACACGATTAATTCTATTTTTTCATTTCTTGGTTGGAAGAGTATCAAATTGATTGGTATAATTGCCTTGATTTTGATTTCGCTATTTAATTTACGGTTATTAACAAATATATTGAGCAAATTAGTATCTTTTACATTGAATTGACTAGGAAAATGATTAAAATAACCCTAAAATAAACCGAAAAGATTTTTCGCCTAATATTTCAGCCAATATTCCAAGATTTCTTTTCTTTTATCTTAATCAACTTAACCCATGATTGGCAGTTTTCTGTCATTTTAGTATCATTCACACTTTCTCTCATTTTAGTACCATCCACGCTAGCTAATGTTTTACTGTTTTTTGATCACATCTTTTTCAAAGAAAGCAATTCCAGGAAGCAAAGAATTGCTTGATCTACCACACACGTCTTGGATTATTAACTTTTCAAGGAATTTACCTTAAACGCCCTAAAGTTTCTTCGAGAATACACTTTCTCTCTTGTATCTAAAAATTTACACTTCATATATTAATAAATGTTTAAAGTAATTCTTCCTTGACTTTTTTGGTAAAACTATTGGAATCGTAAGATAAGGTTCTGCTTGCTTCTTCTTCTTTTCCCTTGGGGTAGTAGTGCAATATATATCAATCATCTTGAGATTGAAAGGAGAAGAAGGAATAAAAGGGAGAAAAAAAAAAAGAGAGGGGGGATGGTTATCATACTCTTGTAAGTGGCGAGTAAGATCCTCAAAGTTTATATTAATGATGCTTTGAAGTTGATTCACATAGATAAAAATCTATGGTATAAATAGATAAATTTAATCAATTTTGATTTTTTTTCAAAATGAGTTATTGCTATTTCATAAGTAGATTTTATCTTAAATAAAATAAATTTTAGGCTCTCTTGAAATAGCCTTCATTTTGTTCAACATTGGAACCTGATGGATGATGCTTACATTTGGTTACTATCCTGGGATGGAAGAGATAAAGATAGTGGAGACATGATAAAAAAAAATTAAGATGAGATAAAATTATGTTTGGTAGTGATATATAAGATAAAGTGATTATTTTTATATCTTATTTGATTATGGTAAATAAGATGAAATATAATATAAAATTTTTTATTGTACCCTTAATATGTATTATTGATAAACTTATATATTTTAAAAAGTAATTAGAGTTTTTTTTTAACTTTAGTTTATATTGAGAGTTAAAATTAACAATATTATAATAATCCTAATTATAAAACCAGAACTGACTTAACGAGTTAACCTAAGACTTGGACTGGTCCTAGTTTAAGAAAAAAATATAGGAAGGATTAACTTGACCTGACCAGGTGAAAAACCTAAGTCAACCTAAGATAGAACATAGATAAAAAACCCATTGAATTTTTTGAAAAATAAATGATCAAAACAAGGTTACTATGATTATTTAAAAAAAAAAAACAATTTGGGTCATCTGAGGTGACTCTCTCGAATCGTAACTTGAACCTTACCTCTGATCGACTCTCAGATTAGGTTTTAAAATTATAATAATAACTATTTTTATCCATACCTTGACTTGGTCAACTTGTGCTAACCCTTCCAACCTGTGACTCGGGTCTTGTTTCGATTGACATCCGAGTTGAGTTTTAAAACTATGATAATAACAAATTTTATCCTTACATTAACTTGGGTCAACCCGGGTTGACTCCCTAACCTGTATCTCGGGTTTTGCCTTGTTTAGGTTTTAAAATTATGATAATAACAAATTTTATCATTATATTGACTTAGATCAACCTAGGTTGACCTTCCTAAACTATGTCTCTGGCCTTGCCTCGGTTGACTCACGGGTTGTGCTTTAAAACTATGAAAATAATAAATTTTATGCTTACGTTAACCCAGGTCAAGGTTGACCCTTTTAACTCGCGCCTCGGGGCTTACCTTAAGTTAACCCTCCTGATATGTGCCTCGAGCCTTGCCCCTGGCTGAGTCTCAAATCAAGTTGTAAAACTATGATAATAACCACTTTTATTTTATGATAACCCTCCTGACACATGACTCGAGTCTTATACCGGGTTGACCCCTTAGTTAATTTTAAAACTATAATAATAATCATTTTCGTTTTTATGTTGACCTAATCAATTGTTAACTTCACTCGTGACCCAGCCTTACCTCGAGTCAACCTTTAAATTAAGTTTTAAAACTATAATAATAACTATTTTTATTTTTAGATAGACTTGGATCAACTCAACCCCTAACCTAGGCCTTGACTAGTGACTCGAGCTCTACCCTAGATCAAAATTGAGTTGAGTTTTAAAATTATGATAATAATTATTTTTATCTTTACATGTCTTACTTGAACAATTTTGAAATTGAAAGTATATTTTATGAATAAAAAATAATAAATGTTATCTCTTAAGCATGTTCGCTATATACCTCTTGTTTTGAAAGTATATAAATTCACTCTAAAGCTATTCCATAGAAAGATTTATTTTTATATTTATTTTTGTCTCTTTAATTAAACATATTTATGTCTTCATTATTAATGTCTCTTCTATCCGAGAATAGTAACCAAACACTATCTTAAAGAACTTTTACACAACTAAGATGTAAAAAGATGATAACCTTATATTCCTCGTTTGTACGTTAGGGTCTTGAATGATTATAGACTCTAAGATGTTAATCCAATATCTCTATAGGTTTAAATGTATCCGGGTTTAACACGTAATTAAGGTTAAGAGAGTTGAGTTTAGCATTTTGTCAAACCTACAAACATTTAAGCTTAACGCATAGCCGAGTCCAAGAGAGTTGGGTCTAGTATCTTGGTAGACCCACAAGTTTTTGGGTCTCACGCATAGCCAAGTTCAAGGGAGTTGAGTCTAGCATCTTGCTCAACTCCTGGGAGCTTGGGTTTGACATGTAGCTGAGTTAAAAGGAGTTGAGTCTAACATCTTATTAGAATTATATATGTTTGAGTTAAGCACGTAACTGAACCTATAAAAATTGAATCCAGTACCATGCTGGCCCTCTTTTTCACATGTGTTGATTTTTGTTGAGTTTCTATAATGAGTTGTCGTTCTCTCTACTTGTGTATCCAATCCATGGGTATTTTAAGTAAATGAACTTTAGTACAAAATACAATGATTCATCAGAACCTCTTCTTTGTTAATAGCTTCATTCCAGACGAATTTTCATTACAGAAGAACTTCCCCGACCCCGAAATGTTTCAGCATATTTTACTCACATTACTTTCGATTTGGATTCTTATAATAATTGGTCGATGAAAGGTGCATTACTAACAGCTTTTTAAATATAATTCTTCAAGAAAATATATAATATTGTATATAAGTATGTTAAATAAAATAGTAAATTAAATTATTATATATTATATAGGTTTGCGGAGAAGTTATAAAACATTCTATTCAATAAATTAAAACCTTTAATGAATTAATATGATATTATGTTATGTTATATATTATGCAGGTTTGTAGAGATGTACTAATAGAACATTCTATTTATTCCATTCAATGAATTGGATCATTAAGGGAATGGCTCGTCTTATTAAAAAATTAAACTAATTTTTATTGATTAATAATTAAAAACATAAGGAAATTTTAAAATGATTGTTTAAAAAACACCTATTTTATTGAAATTTTATTTCTTTTTTATTGAGGAAATATAGAATATTATATTCAATGAATTAAGATCAATAATTAAAAAAGACATGTCTCATTAAAAAAAATAAAACTAATTTCTATTCATTAAAAATTAAACATATGTTTATTAAGAAAATCCTAAAATGGTGGTTTAGAAAACAAAACATATATTTTGGTTGAAAATGGTATTTTTCAAAATAAAATATAAAAACTTTTATGGTTAATATATATATATAGATAGATAGATAGATAGATAGATATAGATACAGAACTTGCCAACATTATTTGTTAATAGCAGCAAGAATTAGACTCTAGGATAAAATAAATAAAAACAAAGGAGATAAAAAAGATTAGCAGTCTAAAACAATTCAATATTCATCTACTTTTTGCTTCGGCTAAAAAGGTCAGCTTCTCTTTTGATTATTTAATTATTGTTGATAATTCTTTTTTATTTATCATTTCATGTGTTTTTTAAATGTATTTTGTTATTTTGTTAAATATAAAAATATCATTTTATTTTTAATTAAAAAAATCAAAATACTGAAAAATACATTCATAAGACAAATGCTTTCTTTTCTTGTATTAAAAATTAATCTGAGATTATACTTGAAACGTAGCATGGATAGAGTGCTAGTTACTATCTCAATCAAATAGGATTACACTTCGAAATACTAACGAGCCTGTATGCCTCGTTGTCACAGCGAAGCGCATCTCCTCTATCATCCGGTACCACTTTTCTTTGCTGGCTGTGGAAACATTTGCTTCCTCTGTTTTTTATTTTGCCACGCCATGTACGAGCACTATGGCTGCGTTTGTTTACTTGCAGTTTTTAATGTTTATGATATAAAAAATATAATAAAATATTTGATAATATATCAAATTGTATTTTTAATTGTGAGATTTATTAAAAAATTAAGTTTGAAATATAGTTTTTGAAAAGTAGTTTTTAGATATTTTTGTAACTAAGTTTCGTAAAATTTTGTTTGTTTTTGTATTTTAAAAACGCTTTTAAAAAAATTAAAAATTTTTACTTTAAATTAAAAAATTTTGTGTTTTTAAATCATTTTGATGGGCTAATATCAAAAATAATTTTAAAAAAATAAAAAATCATTTTGATGTATTTGCAAATAAAAAATATTTTGAAAAGCAACCGCAACTATATATACCTAACATTTTATACATATTTTTAATTACACATTAATTTCAATCATAATTTTTATTTAAGACATATCTAAATTTAATTAACCGTACTTAACTATACTTTTTTAAAA